CGTTGGTTGTTGTTGAGAGAGATTGTGGGTCTGGAGAGACAGTATCTGTTTATTAATTTTGTTCTTGTACATTTGCTGAGAGTGCTTTACTTCCAACTTTGTGGTCAATTTTGTGAATAAGTGCGATATGTGGTGCTGAGAAGAATGGTATATTTCTGGTTGATTTGGGGTGGAGAGTTCTGTAGATGTCTCTATTAGGTCCACTTGGTGCAGAGTTGAGTTCAATTCCTGGATATCCTGTGTTGACTTTCTGTTCGTTGATCTGTCTAATGTTTTGACAGTGGGGTGTATGAATGGTTCCGCATTATTATTGTATGGGAGTCTAAGTCTCTTTGTAAGTCTCTAAGGACTTTCTTTATGAATCTGGGTGCTCCTGTATTGGGTGCATATATATTTAGGACAGTTACCTCTTCCTGATGAATTGATCCCTTTACCATCTTTTGACTTTTTTGGTCTTTGATGGTTTAAAGTCTGTTTTATCAGAGACTAGGATTGCAACCCCTGCTTTTTTTTGTTCTCCATTTGCTTGGTGGATCTTTCTCATCCCTTTATTTTGAGCCTATGTGTGTCTCTGCATGTGAGATGGTTCTCCTGAATACAGCAAACTGGTGAGTCTTGACTCTTTATCCAGTTTGCCAGTCTGTGTCTTTTAATTGGACCATTTAGTCCATTTGCATTTAAGGTTAATATTGTTATGTGTGAACTTGATCCTGTCATTATGATATTAGCTGGTTATTTTGCTCGTTAGTTGATGCAGTTTCTTCCTAGCATCGATGGACTTTACTAGCTTTGTGAAGGCTTTACTTGTACCCCAGAGCATAGAATATCGGAGTTTTCTGCTGAAATCCTCGATGTTTATCAAGTCTCTCATTTTGACAAGCCATGAACTCCAATTTTGTTCCCAGAGCTCCATGGGTTTGTAAAATGTCTATTCAGTCTCTCAGCCTTTTAGCCACAGCTAGCAAATCAGCAAATACCTTGAAGGGAAAAAACATTGCCAAATGTTGGGTTCTGCTCTCTGTTTCTCTCTAGAAATTATCCCTAGAGTTTTAACCACTCAAGTCCTGACAGTCTCTATAGTTTCTGATATTTTCCAATAGATTACTTTTATATTTCCCCAAGCTGTTATCTTTATCAGTGGAAGGAATGGTCTAAAGCAAATTAGTCCTCTATAAATGGAAATGAAATTTTTTTTCCAATATTAAAGATACAATTTAATGTGATAAATCTGTATAGTCATGTAACCACCAACACTATCAGATAGTTCCATCACCCCAAAATTCTCCTCACATACATTGCAATTAACCCCATCCACTCAACCCCAGCGTCTGACCACCACTGACCTACTTTCTGTCACAATAGTTTTGCTTTTACTAGATTTGTGTTTCATTGTTTTGTGGTTCATGTTTGCTGATGTTTATTGATTTTCTTGTTTTTATTACAAAGAATAAGCTCTCGAATATATTCACCAACTCTACGCCTTTTCTATCTTCTACACCACTTGTTTCTGCATGTATCTTTATTATTTAACCTTTTTTTTCTGCTTTTGTAACATTGTTTTTTATGGTTTTCTATGTGTTTTCATTAAAAGTCAGAAATAGATTGTTAGCAAGAATGGCTATAACAATGGCCTTGTCTGTATCCTTGCCCTTGGGTAGTCCCTTCCCACACTGACTCTGGGCTTTGCCATGTGACTTGCCTTGGCCCACAAGTTAATAAGAAACATGACACAGAGACTTGAAAGCGCTTCTGTACTGGGACTTGCTCTTTGTTGCTGCACTTGGAACCCTGAGACCATCATAAGAATAAACCCAAGCTGACCTGCTAGGGAAAGAACACATGAAGAAGATCTAATGTACCCCAGCCAACAACCTGCCCACCACCAGATATGTAGATAAGGCGATTTTAGATCAGCTGTCTAGATAAGGTGATTCTAGATCAGCTATCCTGCCCACCAGCTGACAACAGACACATGAAAGAACCAACAGAAACCAGCCACACCAACCCAGATCAAAGGAATGACCCAACCGTCCCACAGAGTTCAACACAGTGGTTGCTTTAAACCACTAAGTTTTGGGGTGGTTTGTTATACACCCAAAGCTGACAAATATAATTGCTATATTTATGTCATTTTCTGTTTTAGATAATAAAGTAATTCCTGCTTATGCATTTTCCCTTGAGGATTGTTCTGGCCGAATGCCATAAGCTTGGGTACATAGCGTTCAACATAGACTATAATTGAAATATTGGCTTCTTTCTTTTTTTCTTCTTCTCCTCTTTGCTAATAGTTAAGAGAACATTTATATTCCATCTTTCTAAAATTGTCTTATTATTTTCTGGCTTTATGACATTATAGCTTTCAAAAGTAATTTGAACAATTTCTGCTTTTTATAAGAGATTGCTGGTTTTTATGGTTTAAGAGTTCATCAAATTTTATAAATGCTTCAACAGCTCTGGAAAAGAAGAGATATTCTCTACATGATTCATATTTCAGTATGTCTCCAATCAACCTTTCCCAGCATGCACATTACATAGGGACAGGGGATGGTTTCACACTGCTGTGTCCTAGCACACAAACATTGCCTGGCACATAGTAGGCGCTCCATTAGTATTTATTTGTGGAGTGAATGCATAAATTATCCTAATTAATGACAATTAGATCCTATATTGCCTTAATATGAGTCATTATTTATGATCTATCATGATGATTTATCTTACTAACATGCTACAAAGGGAAGTAATTGTGTAAATAATTTTGCTACCATTGTGCTATTGCCAATCTCTCCATGTCTTATCTAATAATCTTTCAACTACTTCTGTCATACATAATGATCTGTTGTTCGCAAAGTTTTCTATGTCTGTGAGTTTAGCATTTATCTCTATAAAATCATAAGCTCTACTTTGTGATGCTTCTTGTCATGAATTCTTCTTTGACATTAATATTGGAATGACTGTGAAACTTTTGCCTGATCTATTATTGCCCCTCAATGGCAGAAATGGGTAGGTGACCACAGATACCATTCTCTCTTTCATCCTTGGTGAAAAACGAAAACACTTTTATGTAAGGCATCAGAGTGCCCAGCTCAATAACTCCATCTACCCTGAAGCAGGGATAGTCATGTGGCTTTCTGGCCAAGGAGACAGGAGAAAGTGTTGAATGGGACTGAGGGAAGGGAATCCACTGGCAGGGGGTCACTGTGTTCCCTTCTTTCCCCTGCTGCCCTCCAGTTCCCACAGTCATCATGGACTCCAGGGCCCTCTGAGGGTGAAGGCTAAGGGATCAGTACGTGACTGTGAAGCCAGGACAGAGAAGCAGGCATATCGTCTCCAGCAGCATCATGGAGACGCCATACCATCTCCAGAGGGCTGACATCTGAACTTATGTTACATGAAACATCAAACCCTTATGTTACTCTCTCTCTCTCTATATATATGTAAATTATGTATATAATGTACAAGATTTTTTTCCTTCAGAATTTCAAAAATTACTCTATATTTAGAGAATTCTAATTCTCAGAATAAAACCTGTTCTGCCACCACTTTATCATTATTGCACTCTTAATGTGTTTCATCTGTTGCTTGATTGGCATATATCTCCAAATGATATCTAAAGAAGGTTACACAGGACAGGAATTGTGTGTGTGTGATTGTGTCTGTAGGTGGGGGGTGATTTTTTGCCTGATCCTTTCACACTTTAAAAGATCAACCAATCGAATCCAGTCAAACCTGATTTCCAAATTACTGGATTATAAAGGTTTTATCTTCAAACCTTGGCAGAAGCAGTGGATACTGTTCTTCCTGCCCCTTCCTTCTCTGTAAGCATGCTTTTTTTGTAAATAGGTCACAATATAGAGTCACAGGAAGAATTGTTAGGACTACAGGCCTAAGAAGATCTCTCTAAAAAAGTATCTGTGAGTATGACTCCCTCAAGCTGGAAGGCTGGGAGGAGGATTAGGACATAGGGGATCCCTCCCTTGTTAGGACTTTCTTTCTTAACTCTACCTCAAGCTCACATGGAAGCCAGCATCTTGGTAACCAGTGAGGTTCCAGAGGTGCACGCAGAGCAGTTAGCATTGGGTGCAGTGGGTCTCATGAGGTATCCAAGGTTCTTGTGCAGGCACAGACTTGTGGTCTTGCATATGTCAGTATTTTGTGAGAAAAATCATTCATTCGAGGACAGGACAGGCCTCTCTGCAGCCAGCAGAGGCAGCAGCCTTGGGCTCAGTGCTAGAGTGTTTTTCATGGACAGGGGATGTTGAGACTTCCGGGATCAGGGATCCCTCCTTTATTTCCCAGCCTTCCCAAGTCCATGTCCAATCCTACCTGTCTGTCATGACCAAGGGACAGGAGAGTTTGCAAAGGTAAAGCAGAAAAAAGAAAGGAACATGTGAGATGCAGCTGATGTCATGAAAGCTAACAAGACCCTTAGAGAGAGAGGCAGCCCATGGAAGGGCAAAGCCTAGGAATGGCTTCAGGGCTGCAGGTGGTGACAGCTTTGTTGGTTTCTCTTTGACCTCTGAAGACTCTAAGTCTATCTCCCACAGCCACATGAACTGGAGAAACCTTAGGCTCCCACCAGGTTCAAGAAAATCAGACAGCAACTTGACCCACTGAAGTCTTCTCCCCTGAATCCTCTACAGGGAGCATGGCCCTGCTGATTCCTTGGTTTCTGACTTCTGGCCTCCAGAATTGTGAGAGAATAAACTGTTGCTTTAAGCCACCATGTTCATGGTTAGTTGTTACAGCACATTTAGGAAACTAATTCAGGGACTTCATGCATTGGTAGGAATGTATTAATAAAAGTGAATTCAAATTGTTCAAAGCTGGGGTAATTTGTGCTGTCATCTGGTAATGTTTGTGGAATTATCTCTGATCAGCTATAATAGGAATTAGAATACAGGGTTCATTTGGGGCTTGGCAGGCAGTATGGCCTTGGGGCTATACTAAGTCATACTCTCCCTTTGACCCATTTTAGCAACAGTGGAGCACAGTAGCAAGATTGTGGGTGCTGGAGCAGGGTCACCTGGTATAAACCCAACTTTCTGCAAAAACAGGCAGTGACAGAACCTTGGGCAAGTTAATCAATCATCTGTGTTTCAGTTCCATAAAGTTGGATGGTAGTATTTACCTTGTAATTCAAACAAAACACATGAAAAACTTATAAGAATGTCACATCATTATAATTATGATCATTGTCATCATCAACATCATCACCATCATTATCATCACTATCATCATCACCATCATAATCACTATCATCACCATCATCATCATTGCCATCATCACCATCGCCATCATCATCACTATTGCCATCCCCATCATCATCATCATTGCCATCATCGCCATCACCACCATCATCATCATCATTATTGCCATCATCATCACCACCATCAGGACCTAAGTTGTTGACAACGTTAGACTTTACCTGAGCCCTGAGCTCCTGGAAAACAATGAGTATTAGGAAATCATCTCACCCTTTTGTGTTCCAGGAAACTGCTTATGACAAAGAAGATCCCCTCCTCACATGATTCAGATAAGACTCATGGATGCTCCCTTCTTTACCCAAGACAAGGCCAGACACACCCTCCAAATTCTCATTCTGCACCTCTTAATGATGACCTGAACTGTTATCCCATTGATCAATCAGAACAAAGAGACTTGTTAACTGACTCGATTAAACTTTAGTTCAGCTCCTCTCCCTCCCCTCAGGACCCAGAACATTGACCCTCCTTCAGCCTGAGCCAGCAAACAGCCCCTCCTAAATAGCCCCTCCCCATAATTAAATGATTAAGGAATCAAGGAAAGACTTTCCCCAACTGATTAACCCTGATCTCACCACCCACTCCCCCACATGCAATTATTTTTTGGCCTTGTCTGGTTCTCCCCATAAAAGAAAGTTTCTTTCCAACAGAACTTTGAGATGCCTGCAGCTGTTACTGTCAGATTGTTCCCCTTACTGCAATAGCTCCCCCCTTCCTTGTATCACAATAATCCTTTTGAATGAAGTCTCTCCTTATTTAAATACACATTTGTTTTCATTTGACACTCTATTTTAGTGCTGGCTGTATGAGAAATGAGAAAGTATTGGGTCATGGTCTAAAGAACTCCTCAGATTCACAGAGGTTTCTGGACTGGGCAATGGCTACATAGTCTTGGCTTTTAAGTCCCTGAGAGTTCAAAAGAAGGATATCTTCATCCATTCAGGCTGCTATAACAAACCACCATACGCTGGGTGGCTTGTAAACAACAGAAATTTATTTCTCACAGTTCTGGAGGCTGGAAGTTCAAGGTCAGAGTGCCAGCATGGTTGGATTCTGTGAGGGCCTCTTCTAGGCTGAAGACTGCCACCGTCTCACTGTGTCCTCACATGGTGGGAGGGGCACAGTAGCTCTTTGGAGTCACTTTTATAAGGGCATTAATCCCATTCATGAGGGCTCCACCCTCACAACCTCATCACCTCCCAAAGGCCCTGAATCCTAGTACCATCAGGTCTCAATTTTCTCATTGCTCCAGCTCCCTTCTCAGTAGACTCAGTTATCAAGGATTTGAGGGACAAGAAGAGGGGGCTACCCTGCTCCAGCTCTCAGAGACATCTGCCCTGGGGACCACCATTCATCCTCCAGCTATTTTTTCTTGCACACGCTGCCCTGATGAGACCCTGAGCAGAGCAAGACTGGCTCTAAGGTCTTGAAATTCCTAGGCCCTTGGCTTATTACCATAAAAACCAATGAACACACTTGATAAAGTTGCTGGCAGAGGTGGTCCCATTATCTTTGGGCATTAGATGTAGCCAAAGACAAATCTAAGGCCAAAAGAATTTTTGTTCATTTTGTCATAGCTTCTCTCTTCTCCTGAGGTTTTTACCAAGTATTTTTTATCCTTAGAGTTTACGATTTTCACTGGATATATCTCATTTCAAATTTAATGTGATAAGCCATTTCCACCTGATAGATGAGCTGTTTCCTCAAGGCAGGAAACTCATCTTCCCTCTCTTCCATGTTTGCTTCAATTCTATGTCTTTAGGTGTTTCAACCAGACACAAATAGACACATATTGGCTCTCCATCCTTTGTCTACTGCATCTCAGGTGTTCTTTTGTCTCTTGAACCAGTCCATTTTTTCCCCTTCCAACACTAATCTGCTGCCCAGGAATTGGTTTGTGAGCAGCCATGTTTTATGTCAAGATATTTATTACTGTCATCATTTGTAGATGAAGCAAGTTGGGAATGGAGAAGTTAGGAGCATTGCCTGTCTTAGTCATTTTCTGCTGCTATAACAAAGTACAACAAAATAGGTAATTTATAAACCATGGAGGTTTATTTGGCTCACAGCTCTGGAGGTTGTGAAGTTGAAGAGCATGGTTCTGGCATCTGATCGGGGTCATCCATAGAGAAGCATCATATGATGAGTTAGTGTGAGAGACAGAGAGAAAATGGGGGCTGCACACATCCCCTATCAGGAGCCCACTCCTGTGAAAATCAACCAGCTCCTGCAATAACCCACTCCTGCAATAATGACAATAATCCATTAATCATCTTTTCTCAACACTATTATGATGGTAATTAAATTTCAACATGAGTTTTGGAGGGTACATTCAACCCATAGCATTGCTCAGAATTAATTGGCTTATCCAAGCAGAGTCAAGATGCTCAAAGGAAACCATCAAATTCTCTCAAGATGGACAGAACTGGCATTGCTCCCCGTTGTCTCTGGTTTTCCATACACTCTTGAACTAATGACAAACCCAAAACACCATGTCATCTCTTGGTCCAGTGGGAAAATGACCCCCAGAAGTCCACTGTAAATGCCCTGGCCTCTTCTGCTGAAGAACCTCCCATGGGACTGCAAAGACCGGATTAGGAGGAGCAGAGGGACACTGAGATGACTCTGTTGTGTATATTGTCCAAGCACATCCAAGGTAATTAATAGGACCCTCTTGCCTCTCGCTTCTCCCAGCACACATATTCTAAAATGTCCTTCCAAACACTAAATATACCAGACGGTGGCAAAAACAAAAACACCACACAAGTGATAGCTTATAGACGCAACCTGTTTTTCTTTCCCAGGCAGAAGCTTGTCCACACTTCAGCGCTTTTACAGCCTTTATTAAGAGAAGCGAGAACTCAGTCTATTTGATTTATAATTGAAAATCATAAACTATAGCATTCACCTGCTGTTCCTATGCGCTGGTGAAATGATACAAGGCTATTTCATCACTCAGCCTCGTAATTGGCATGAACCAACATCAGTATGCACCGTGGCGTTCCCAGAGGCCCACTAACAAGTTGATACAACTGCACAGGCTGGAGAGCAGAAATTTAGTAAAAATATTATTTCGTGCTGATTTGTTCTCTAACTCCTGCTTCATGAAGAGTCACCAGGACGCACAAGGGCACTTCATTAGTAAGGTAGGGGAAGAGCGGGCCTGGGTCCAGTGTGCACATGTTCTCAGACAACAATTTTTTGCTTGTCCAAACTTTAGTCAGGCTCTTGAATCACGCCCCCCCCCACCCAACCCCAGCTGTGCACTTCCTTGAAAAATTCAGATTTATCAAGACTCCCCCCACCTTTGATATCTGAACACCCTCACTATCTGACCCAGTTCCTCATCCTCCACCATTCTCCAGGTGATGTCTGGTCACCCTGGCCTGTCCTCGGCAAGAATCCTGTTAGGTCACTTTAGCCAGAATCCCCTGACCCCTGATGTTTCCTCCTAGTATTTTTCCATCCATTCCCTCCCACCCTGCTCCTTGGCTGTAAGTTCTCGCTTCCCTGTGCTGTATTTGAAGTTAAACCCAATCCCTTTCCCACTGCAAAATCCCATTTCAGTAGTCCCTATAGCTATCTCAGTGGTTCTGAATGCTTTATCAAGTGGCATTGAATATTTTTTCTAATTTTCAACACCCCCCAGGAGCCCTTTCCTCTGCTGGAGGGAGGCAGGCAACAGCTCTACCCTTGGCCATACATTGACTTCAGCCTAGAGCAGGTCCTGGTGCTGCCTCATACACCACCATCACCGGGCCTGAAAGGAACCCACTAGGGCTTATAAGACTAGAGAAGACATGGTCTTGACCCTCAAAGAGCTCTCCTTTGGGGTCTGAGGACATGGCCAGCCTGGCAGGGCTGTTCTGCTGAGCACCTTTCTGCCTCATCCACAGTCTCTTCTGGACCAGGCTCTACAGACACTGAGGTGACTCAGACAGAGACCCTGCTGTCCCCTTAGGGCTCCTAATTGGGGTATGGAGAGCACGCTGGGGGGAATGCATCACAGGGACGCAAGAAGCTTAAAAAGTAGCCCAAAGATTTGGCAGGGTGGAGTCAGACTACTTTTGGCCTTGTCTCTCCAGAATCTCCATTAGGGGTGTCATGACCATTATCAGCTGCCGAAACCCAACCACAATGAGTTTATGAGAGGGCAGCAGGCCCCCCTGAGGCTGGGATACAGGGTGGTGAGGTAAACTCCAGGGAGCCCTTCTGGTATTGTCAGGTGAAAGTAGAGGCTGGGAAGCTGCTTAGAAACTGGGGTGGCCTCTTTGTGCTGCTGGTCACAAATGTTCATTCATCCCACATTAATACAATAGAATCTTTTGAATCATGTTTTTAACCAGCAAAAAGAAGCATGAAGCCAAGAAGTATTGTGTATATGTATGAGCCAGGCATTTTTATAACATTATATCATGTTTTAAAATTTTTTAATTTTAATAATTAACATGCATTTATTGCATTTGCTTTTGAGGTCTTTGTCAAAAATCCTTTGCCTAGGCCAATGTCCAGAAGAGCTTTTTCTAGGTTTTCTTCCAGACTTTTAATGGGTTTTGGTCTTAGATTTAAGTCTTTACTCCATCTTGAGTTTTTATACATGGTGAGAGATAGGGCTTCAGTTTCATTCTTCTACATGTGACTATCCAGTTTTCCCAGCACCATTTATTGAACAGGGTGTCCTTTCTCCAATATTTGTTTTTGTCTGGTTTGTCAAAGATCAGTTGGTTGTAGATATTTGGATTTATTTCTGGGTTCTCTATTCTGTTCCCACTGGTCTATGATATTTTTATATCAGTACCATGCTGTTTTGGTTACTGCAGCCTTGTAATATAATTTGAAGTTGGGTAATATGATGCCTCCAGATTTGTTCTTTTTCCTAAAGATGCTTTGGCTATTCACAACCTTTTTTGGTTGTATAGGGATTTTAGGATTGTTTTTTCTAATT